TAATACAACAAATATAAAAATATATTTTAGTTGTAGTTAACAAAATATTAAAAATTGAAAAAAAATATATCCAGAATACAAAATCCTATTACTATGACTATTTGAAATACAAAAAAAAAAATAGTTAAAATCAAAAGTAGTATAGTTGATTAATTAAATAATCTATTTATTTTTAAACTCTACAATATTTATAAAAAACAAATTAATATGTCTGCTTCTAAAATTAGCTTTACTTATACAGGTTAAAAGATAGCAAATCAGATATCTGATTTTAAACTGATTGCTAACTGATTACTGCCTAATATATATATATTTTTTGTATCAAAAATTTGGTACAAAAATATATATAAATCAAGCAGTAATTAGTTAGCAATCAGTTTAAAATTGGGTATCTAATTTGTGTCTGATTTGCTATCATTTGACCTATATTAATAAAAAGTTACTAATCTAAGAGTTAATATTTTAGAGATTTATATTTCTAACTTATTAATATTAACTCTAATCTTCTATTATACTAAGTGTCACTTATGACTATCATTATTATTATTTTTTATATATTATAACCTATAAAAGATTTCTAGTCTCATACTAATTATTAGAAAACTCTAGTTTTTTATACTTAATTTTTATTTGAAGAATCTTTTTTGTATACATCAGCAAATTTATAAGACTATAATATTTCATAATAATTTATAAAACGTAAAATAACCATAATATTATATAAGAAATTTTGAAATATTGCGAAATATCTAATTACGAAATATTATATAAATTTATTTCAAAATATTTTGAAATATCTTATATAATATTATGGCATTTTTACATTAAGTAAAAAATTTTGAAATAATTTACATACATGCTTCCCAACTCGGAATTTATAGCTGTTTTCATTATTCCTAGGACATCTATAAAAATTAGCCAAATGATTTTTTGGCCAATCTGGTTAAGTTATTTTTTGGGATCTAATTTTTATTTGATATGTATAATACATGTTATAAATTAAATTATTTCGTTGGTAATTTCATATTTTATTATTATAATATTTATTATTAAATTTTGGTTGAATGCTTGCCCAATATGCTTGATGTGTTTAATTGTGTGTGAAAGTTTATTGAAAAGAATATTCTTGTTAACCAATAAACTTGAAAAGAAATATAAAAAAGACTCCAGATATCAAATTAACTTTTATAATAATTATTATACGAATAGGTGCTAATATTAAAAAAAGTTAGATACAATCAAGAATTCATTGATTTAAACCAAAAATTCAACTAAAGTCAAGATTTCAAAAAATCAAGACTTAATTAATATTTGTCAAAAATGTGTTAAAAATTATGATCAACAAAATTAAAGTGAAACAGTAGATATAACAATTAAAGATTCTCTAGAATCTTTATCATCTATAACAAATACTTTTGAGTTATCTGACTTGTCTGAAGTAACCACAACTAATCTAGAAATTAATAGCGAAAAAGATCTAAATTGGATATTATTAATATGAAAGAACCTAAATCAGAAGCTATTAATGCAAAAGAGCTTTTTATAAAATAAAAATATATATAAATATATGAAATATTACCCTCCAAATTGTTGTAAGACTAATATTACGTCCTAATCAAAGTTCCATCTTGGATTGTAATTTTTTTTTATTTTATTTTTAAAGAATGTGGTTTTTCTGAAAGTGATAAAAGTTTTTCAATACAACTATATCTTTGAAAATGTACAAGAACCCAACTTATAGAAGAGCTGTTAACACCTAAGCATCTTGAGTTGATAGGTATCGTGGTGGTAGCTAGTTCATGATGTACTTGTTTTTTCTTTTTCGCATCTGTTCGCTTTGCCTTGACCATTAAATTAGTGTATTGCAGGCACTTCCTTATATGCCCCTGCTATGCATATAAGAGTCATAAATAAGTTAACAAAGTTATAGATAGTTACAACTTTTATATGTATAGCAGAGGCATATAAGGAATATCTGTGATATACAAATTTAATAGTCAAGGCAAAGTGAACTAATGTGAAAGTGAAAAGACAAGTATATTGTGGACTAGTTACCACCACGATAATAGGTCTTTTAAAATTTTTCAAATAATTTGAATTCAACAACCATCTGATTTTAAATTATGTACTGTTGTGAAACAGGTTTTTGTAGATTAGCTTAGTATAGCACACACTTTAAATTTTATATTTTATATTATTTAATAACTTATATTTTATATCAGATATTTATTATTATATTTGTATTATATATTATTATTAGTATAAGAGTTAATAGAGACTTTATTAAGTAAAATATTAGAGTAAAGCCACTGTAGCACATACTGTGGCTAAAATAGACAAGGTAGTATCAAAGATGATACATGGCCTTCAATTTTCTCAACATGACCCTCAAGTCCCTCAAGTCCTCCAATTCTCTCAACATGGCCTTCAATTCCCTCAACATGGCTCTCAAGTCCCTCAAGTCTTTCAACTCCTTTAATATGGCCTTCAACTCCCTCAACATGGCCTTCAACTTCCTCAACACGGCCCTCAACTCCCTCTACTACCTTGGCTTGGCATGTAAAAGATATATAAAAAGTGTATTTCCCCCTTCTGCTCAGTTTAGAGTTCCTACCCCTCTTATAGCATTAGATATTTCTCTTATTCTCCACTTGTAAAGTGTAATATTCTCACTCTAGGGTAATTCCTACAGGCAAGGCTTATTACCATCTATTATTTTAATAAAAGTTATATACTATTACTATCTCGAATTATCTACCTCCTGCTAGTGAAGTAATCCAACTCTTCACTTCTACCCCGTGTATATTTATAAAGTATATCACTGATCTTGTTACTGTGCTATATTAGTACTTAAAAGGCTATAGCATTGTAACATTTTGGTGCCTTCTGGCAGAAATACAAAATTATCCTGGAAACACTAAAACTGTCATTAGGAAGGGAGTAAATTCAAACCCCAACTGTTTTTAGGAAAATAATCAAGAAGAAACTCTAGCAAAAAACTGTAGAATTATAGCAAATTCTACTAAGGCTACTGGAACTTTTTATCTTGGATTATATATTACTAACTAATTTATTGCAGGATTGGCTTTTTTTAAAAAAAAGAAAGCAATTTGTTTGGTATAATCTTCTTTAATTGATTTATTATTATTATTATTATTATTTTATTTTATACTTGAAGAGTTTATGCTTTGATTTCTTGCAAGTCTGCCGGCTTATTGTATTGAATAGCTATAAATTGTATTAATTGTATTGAATTGTTTAAACTGTTTTGATATCGTCTATTTTGTTTGATTACTATTTCTTTATTCTTTCTTCGTGCACATACTATCTTAATTATATTTATTGGCCAAATCATATTTTATTTTATTTTATCTCTGCTACTAACATTATCTCTGAAAGATAATTTCGTTAATTCTTATAACAGATACTCTTACAAGGTTTCATCAAAACAATATTGACTTACACCAACTTGAGCATATTAACTCTACAGCCGCTGCTGTTGAAGTATTGCAAACTTATTCTCCTAATTTATCATGTAAACTGTACTATCCTTCTCAATGTATAGCTACTCTTTCAAATTTTGGTGACTTTTGAAATTGGTATTTTAGAACCTATAACGCTACATCTTATAGTTCAGTTACTGAGCAAAGTTTTAGAAATTTATATACTATTAACCGAAAACTTGCTTGCTCTGCTACTCATGATATTATTTTTAGTTGCAGATATAGTAATAATATACTAGCTTCTTGTCCTGTAATTTCTATTTTATTTCATCATTTTACTTTGTATACTAATATTCCACAGATTGAAGAAGTAGATCAAAATCACTATGATATATATATTGATCGCTCTAATAATTCTTCTTTACCTATTTAACATATTCAATATTTTGAGAAATTAGGATCAACTTCTCAACACTTAGAACATATTGACCGCTCTATTCACATTACTACATTCTTACCTGGTACTACAGTACATACAATCTAGTCTCGGCAACTAAAATTAACTAACTTCAAATGCTAATCCTTGTTTATAAAGAACAATAAGCATAAATTCTTATCTTAGAATGATAATACTAATCAAACTAAACAAGCCCACGGTTTTAGATTTTTTGTAAAAATATTTTTTAAAAAATAAAAAGCAATGAAAGTTAACTTAGTTTTATAATACAACAAACAATTTGGCTGCTCTATATATACTATTAAACCAGAAAATTTGGCCGCTCTATATATAATATTAAACTAAAAAATTTGGCCGCATTACTTTTTATACAAATCCGATTAATTCTATATACTAAAACCCATGTAATTATACTTATAATTAGAAGAGTAGTATTTATATGCAGAATAGATATTTATTAACCATATTTATATATTTTGGCTTTGAAGCATTCATCGATCTAGCCTATTATAGAAAATAGAGTAACGGTAACAATAAGGTTATAACAAAATTAGCATAACACCAAGTTTAAAAGTTAAAGCGATTCAATTTTTTTTTCTATCTAAAAATCGTTCACAATTTGATATCATGTACAGTATATAAAATCTTTAAAATAAGTCATTAAATTGCTCAAATTTATTCTCAAAAAAAAAGATAAGTATAGTATTTAATTTATATCATGTAAGAAAAAAGAAAAATTAATCAATTTTGATTGAATTTAAAACTGATTCAGGAATTCAGTGATGTGATCAGTATTTTTTAACTGCAAATTCTGCAGCTTTGCCTTTTAACCCTTTTCTATATGCATCTATATAGTGAAATGCTTTTCTTGTAAACCGATGAATAGTTGGAAGTGAGACTGAATTGAGAGCTAATGGAACAGTTTGTTGTAATCCTTTTCATGAGTAATCATAATGTGACCGACTATATTTCTTGGTGGCACCCCAGAAGTTTTCAATATAATTGAGCTCACAGTGAAATTTAGAATAAAACACAATTTGATGCCTGGCTACAATAATAATTTCTTCTAATTGGCCTTTTTGTGCTAAAAAATCTGGCTACTAACTTATTAATTCTCGTGCTTCTTTTAACTTCAATCTCTCTTCTGGCCACAATCCTCTATTATCTAGAACTTGTTTTATATCTTTAGCTTTCTCACGTAATTCAGGAATGTAATAATCTGATGAAAAAACTATGCACTAGTTGTATTTTATTCCTTCATGATAGTATGATGTGCTGCGCATTTTTGCTTGTTTTCTAGCAGGACCAAGATTCATATTCTTGCAATAAGTGCATCAGGTGCAAAAACAGCATGACTTTTTGCATTATTAAATGCAAATAATGCTTGACATCTTGGAAAACATGCTTTAAATATGGGAATAGCGCGAGTGGTTACTTGATTAATTAAGTCCTCAGAGTTCCACCATCCATCATAGTTTTTACCAGGATATATAATGATACAAGCTTCTTTAGAAAGCTCACTTGATAGTTGTATTTCATCAGAAAGTACAAGCCGGCCATAAACATCAGTAAGGAATTCACTAACATGAATTGAATGACCTTCATTTTTTTTTCGTAAGGGCTGTTCCCCATCAGGAATCCAGAGATATCGACTTCTATCATTAGCTAAAAAGATGTATTCATGATGTGTAACGAGAATAAGGGGCTGTATACTATTATCTGGCCAGGTTTCCTTTTCCATATTATCCCTTGAAAACATAGGCATTCTTTGTTCAAATTCATTCATTCGATCCAAAAATATTTTTCGATAGGCTACTACATCTTCTCTCTCATGCCCATATACATAGATATCTTTTTTTACTCTTTCATATACATATCCAAGCTCTTTCAAATAATTTTTTGCAGTATTAAGAGAAATAGTTGGAGATGGTACAAATCTGAGTCCTAGTAAAATAATCTTATTCATTCGTAGCATAAGCATGTGTAGAGTAATATCTCATTTATTTTTTCTAGCATAAGACTTTACTTGAAGAAGAATATCTTCGTTCCAGAGAAAGCTCTATGTTTTAGCATGGTGTTCTCGGCGTAAGTAAGGAATTTGACGAATCATTACATATTCATGAGCCCAGGAACGAATACATCTAGCATGGTATACTTTTTTTCTTGCTGCATCAGCAACTACTTTACTTGCTTCTATTTTCTGATAGTTGTGTTTTACAAGTTGAAGGTAAAACCAAATACTATTAAAACGTACCCAAACTTTACTATTTACTTTTTCATTTTTAATATCTAGTGCTAAGTTTTTAAGAGCAGTTAAGATTTTGTTATGCCAATTATAAATTTCAATCTCATTTTCCGATATCCTTTCAGTATTGTTATCCTCATCAACTTCTTCCTGTTCACTATTCTCATCAATTTCCTTCTCTTCATCAACTTCTTCCTCTTCATCAACTTCCTCCTCTTCATCATCATACAATTCTATCTTACAAGTTTCTTCAGTAGTTTCTTTTTAGTTCTAAAAAGTATACAACATAGGTGTTCCTTTTGCTGCTTCATACTGTAACTGCCTTTTTCTTCTTTTAGTGCGAATTGATTTTTCCAAATAAAATAGCTTATGAGGTTTGTTAGAATTATATTTCTGATAATATTCATTTGCTGTTTATTTGCAAAATTTTTAATATTATTATTCACACTTTGCTCATTGTACGCAAAAAAACTTTCATCACTATCATCATCATAATAATTTTTTGCTACTACATGAAGTCTCTCTATAATGCTTGCTGCATTTTCATTCTCAACTGCTTCATTACAAGAAAACTCTTCAGAATTTTCTGTTTCAGAATTTTCAGCCTCAGAACTTTCTGTTTCAGAATTGTCAACACTAGCACTATACTTATGTGCCTTGGCTTCATAAGCCTTTTTAAATCTTTTTTGACAATTTGTTAGATGTGGCATATTAATTATTACCACCAAATTGATCGCTTAAAGTTTTTTTATAATTTTATTGCAGAAAAAACTATAAAGTTATTTCTAACACATTGGTTATAATTTTATTTAATAATATCCCTTAAACTGTAGAGTTCATGTAACAATTTTAACTTAAAAATAGCATAAATTTAGTTATGATTTATTTTTTTTAATATTTAAAATATTTAAATAAA